CAATGAAAATTTTTTTATTCGAATTCTAAAGTTATGTAGAATTCTAATAAAAAATTTTTATCGAATTTGGTCAAGTGAGTGCTATGATATCTTCGATTAAAGTTGTGTGGCATAGTTTCTATATTATTGGCTATTAAAAATTCTCAAAGTTCGATCAAGATATCTCAGTACCAACTTGACCAAATTCGATAAAAATTTTTTTATTCGAATTCTACAAAACTGTAGAATTCAAATAAAAAAATTTTCATCGAATTTGGCCAAATGGGTACCAAGATATCTTCGATCAAAGTTGTGTTAACAATTTTTGCACAATTTCTAATAGACGGTTTAAAAATTCTCAAACTTTGATCAAAGGCATATCAGTACCCACTTGACCAAATTTGATAAAAATTTTTTTATTTAAATTCTACAGTTCTGTAGAATTCGAATAAAAAAAATTTGGTCAATTGGATATCAAGATATCTTTGATCAAAGTTGTGTAAAAATTTTAACACAATTTCGATTTTATTCGTCAATTACTGAGTTACTATAGTTGGACTAATTTCTAGAGTTGTTATATATAACATGTTACAATTAGATTAGTCCTTTATATATATTATATATATTATATTATATATAAGACCTGATAATTGCTCTACCCCCCCCACTCTCTAAAAAATCACTTGATAAATAGTACTCCCCTAATATCTTCAAGTTGTTTTTTTATTTCTTCACGTAAAGTATCATTTTCTTGTTTTAATCTTGTATATGCGCTGGTTAATTCTCCAAATTTTTTAACCACAAGGTCTCTTTGTGACCTAATTTTTATTAATAAAAAATTTTTTTAAAAAATAAAAAAAAATAATACATTTTTTTTAAAAAAAAAATAAAACATACATTTTAATATTTTATATAATAAAGATCGAAACTATAAAAAAAATTTAAAATAAAAAAAACAAAAACAATAATTATATATCATTAAATAAAATTAAGTAAATTCTGTTGGGGGTGGTTTGTCTGTTAACAATGATTTTACATCTGGAACGATGCTTGGTAAAAAATCCTGAACCTCAGCTAATACTTCTGTATATGCTTCTTTTGTCTTTTTTTTAATTTCTTCATAATTAACTTCTCCTTCTTCAATATTAATATTATCAAGTTTATTATTTATTTTTGTAACCACATCATCAAGATTTTTTTTAACAGAATCATTGAACCCTTCAACTGCATTTTTCTAATGTTCATTTTCTTGAATTAAACTTTGATTTTGTTTATAAAGTGCACTATAAGCTTCTTTTAAATGATTAAATTTAGCAA